AAAACCCCAATAAAAGAGAACTCTTAAAATAGAGTGCAAGGAGAAGACAAACAAACGAAGGAGGAATGCCTGAAAATAAAGAACGAAAAGAGAGAACACTGACTCACCAAATTCAAAGCACCAGTTAAAGCTCTTTGAATTATTTATGCAAATTGACAAGAGAACTATACAACTAATAGCATAGAAGATTCACCTCCATGTCACAAGCATAAAGATACAAATGATCAATTTTTCTAAATGGTTCTTTTTTTTTTTTGGGCAAGTAAAGATTCTAAATGGTTCCTGAAAATGTAGTTTCTCTAGATGATAAAAGTTCTAGCAATAGGGTTGTTATTGGAAATGACTAACATATAGAACCGATTGACTATCAATAGAGTTGTTATTGCAAACAATCCGATGTTGAAACTCCTTTTATAAAGTTTACCGAAGTTACCTCTTTTAAAGAGCGGGGGGGAAGAGAGTCCTGTAATTGCTTCAAAAGGCATGTGTAAGCCTCTGGCAGTACATCAGCACGTGTAGATAGGTACTGTCCAAGTTTCACCCACAAACCTTCAAGCTCCACTATTAAATTAAGCACACGCTTAGCATTGCGTTCATGAGCTTTCTCCCATAGAGAAGCTTTCTTTGACTTGTTCGCCCATTTTTCTCTCTGCTGTAAAGCCTTGATGAAAACATAACATAATAGTGGTCATAAGCTCTTCAATGTTCTTAGCAAATAGAAAAGGAAATAAGATGATAAAACCCAGTTTCTTGTTCTTGCATCTTTTAACTTTCAAACATAACACTAGCAAGCTAGCAGCTAAAGGACATAACTCGTACCTTGTAATCAAAGTAAATGATAAGAGCTACAGTAAAAACTTTCACACGCCTCTTATAGATGTTTCCCCATCCCATTGATTGTAGCCTGGTTGAGAACTGTACGTCCACCTAAGAAAAAATAGATCTGCAAGAAAGGAGACTAAAGAAAGATTTAGTTTGGAAAAAAAAATGAGTCCGATCATCCTGCTAAACCAGCATGAATAGCAGTTAAAGGATCCAAAAACAGTTCTGAAAACTTCAGTTCAGAAATAACGGCTCAATGGTAAACTAACAGACTATGAGAACACTTATGAAGACTTTAGTTCAGAAATACTTGCTCAACGGTAAAGTAACAGACAAGAAGTCACTCTATGTCTATCAATGTCATGTCAATAGTGGGAGGTATATCAAACTATAGGAACCCCTTACCCAAACCCAAACGGAGAAAACAAAAGAAAATAAAAAGCAAGAAGAAATAAGTAGTGGATTGTCATGTGAACAAGCAAATGAATGATCTCCTAAATATCAAAACTTAGTTACCACACGGACTTAAACCAGATTACTCATACCTGTGGTGTCATTTGGCAAAGACCAACCCATAGTAAAGGAGTAATTGCAAAGTAAAATTAGAGTCAACGAAATATCTGCACAAAATTAAATGTGTTCTTACAGATCTGAGAACAATCATCATTCAGGCACTGACTGCATTCTATTTTCCATAAAACACTCTTTCCTTTCTGGTCTTTTCTAAAAGACCGCTTTTCTACATTTAGAGCTCCTAAATCTTACCATTCTCATTTTGCCCTTAATTACATACTCTTGTAGGAATTAACATGGCATGTAGAGGTCACTAGATATTAAAGGGTACTTTTGGTATGTTATATATAATTAGCTCATATGTTAAAAGTGTTAGATAGTTATGTGTAAATATTCCTAGTCACATATGTAGTAGGAATAGAATATGTCATAGTCTCATATGTAGTAGGAGTAAAATATGTATCATATATAGGGCTCATTGTATCATTGTTAAAAATAATAATATTTTCTTCCGTGCTTTCTCACATGGTATCAGAGCTTCAGTGAGAAAATTAGAGTTGTGTGTCATTCCAGCGATATCTGGGAAGAAAGATCTCATTGTCGTGCAATTTTCCGGCAACTTCGACTTGTTCCCAGGGTTCATCACTGCTATAGTGGTATTATGCATATACCAGTACCACCATCAGATCTGAAACCCTTGTGCGACCAAACCCAACAACCAGTCCTATCAGAACAGAAAAGTCAGACATCGTGCATCTTTCCGGTTGATGACTGATTTGCGTTATCTCCTCATCGGTAAGTGTTGTGTGAAAACCAACACTACCATCTTGATCGGAAAAGTCAGGCGACAAAACCCCAGTCAATCGCTCCGGCAGAAAGTCACTCGCGCGCCTCCACGCGCCGCCAGAACTAGGGTTCCAACGAGCTTCAGTAACTTTTTCGACGTGTGTAAGCCATTTCGGCCACTTTTTGACAAACCTTCTTCAGGACAACTTACTCGTCCAGTGATTCCGAGTAAAAATATCTCGGTTCTATGACGTGATATCGCGGATGACAAATTAGAAAAAATAGAAATGGGATATGTCTACTTACTTAGGACAAGTACAAGCAGACATGGAGGAATTTGAGAAGTTGATGCCAGTTTCAGCTACTATTGAAAAGCAACAAGAGCAACGACAAAAGATGTTTCTAGTTCTTACACTCGCTAGACTTCCTATTGACCTTGATTCAGTGCCTGACCAGATTTTGGCTAGTCCGACTGCGTCTACAATTGATGAACTATTCTCTCAATTACTTCGCCTTGTTGCAGCAGCCAGTCACATAGTGATCTCTTCACAGACAGTTGACTCCTCTGTTCTCGCATCCCAGACAGTGGAAAATCGGGTATCTCAGACTATGGAGAATAGACGAGGAGGAGGTCGTTTTGGAAAGACTCGACCCAAGTGTTCTTATTGTAATAGGCTTGGACACACCCGTGAGGTGTGTTACTCTCTGAATGGTCGACCACCTAATAATGTTTATGTCGCTCAAACAGAGACTACAGGTAACCAGAGGTTTTCTTTATCTGAAGGGGAATATAATGAGTTCCTTTAGTATCGAGCAAAGTAAGCATACACCTCCACAAGTAGCCTCTGTTGTTCAGACTGATACTTATGTTGTCGGTAATTCCTTTGTTTGTGTTTCCCAATCTACTACTCTTGGACTGTGGGTCATGGACTCAGGCGCCTCTGATCATATTTCTGGTAATAGGTCACTTCTGTCAAATATTATTTATTCACAGTCTTTTCCCAATGGAGTCCAAACAAAAGCAAAAGGAGTTGGACAAGCTAATCCTTTATCCTCTGTCACTTTAGATTATGTTCTTTATGTCCCTGGTTGTCCTTTTAATCTTGTATCTGTTAGTCGGTTGACTCGTGCCCTCCATTGTGGTATATATTTTATTGATGACTCTTTTGTTATGCAGGACCGCAGTACGGGACAGACGATTGGCGAATCACAAGGCCTTTACTACCTTGACTCACTCAATCCTTCCGCATCATGTCCAGTTACAGATCATCCAGACCTAATTCACAGACGTTTAGGATATCCAAGTTTATCCAAGCTTCAAAAGATGGTGCCTAGTTTATCTAGTTTGTCTACATTAGATTGTGAGTCGTGTCAACTTGGAAAACATACCCGAGCCACCTTTTCGCGTAATGTTGAGAGTCATGCAAAGTTTATTTTTTCTTTAGTTTATTCTAATATATGGGGTCCTAAAAGAGTCAATTCAACCTTAGGATTCGTTATTTCATGATGATTACTCAAGATATGGTGGCATGTCTTGAACTCATAATAGCTTATGAATAAGCAATCGTCGAGATTGAGGAAGCTATTTTAGTTTAGTAATGATTCAAATGGATCTATAACAATAAAAAGTTGTTCAAATAGGAAATTGATAGCAGTAGGTGATGCATCATCTCCTATGAAAGCCAAACCTCCAGCTGACATCCCTGCTGCAACAGTTTTTGAACGAATGAATGCAGCAACAGCTGGTGCTTTGAAGGCTGCTAGTTATTCAGCTGTTACTTTATCTGGACAGAATCGTCAAGGGGCAGGAGATGTTGAAAAAGATGTAAAAGTTCCTAATACTATAGGGTCAAATATGGAGATTGATGTTGCACTGAATACAACAGTGGATAGAGCTGCATTTACCTTTGTTAATATAGATACTGTAGCACCTGTGGAACGTGTAGAAAAATCTCCAAATCCTAAGAAGGTGGATCAGGATGTTGATACACTAAATGCAGCTGGAAAATCTGAAGAGCAGGGATTCACTACTGATGCTCGAAATAT